GAAGTAAAAACTAGTAAACTATGTCACTAATATTTTTTTTAATGAATATTAAGGGAAAAAGGGATTAATTGGATTTGGTCGGAAAAAGATCAGAGATCAGATTGTCGAGCCATGTAGCCCAGCTCTAGTATGATTATTGATTTGCAGTGCCGAATGCTTATTCACAGCACCGATTGTTTACATTTACATCTGCAATAACGTACTTTAACTGTAATATGCAATTTCCTTCCACTGCACTTTAATTTAGATAGCTTCTGTCCAAACTTTATTTATTAATTTTATAGTAAAACCCATCTGTATATATGCTATTGTGCATAACTGTAAAAACCTTTTTTATAGTAATATCCATCTGTTTATTATATTCGGTACATATCCAGCTGTAAATTTAGTTCATAACACTAGTTATCTATATATTATATTCATCTATTAGTAAGATTCTGTTTATAATGGTATTCATCTCTATACTTATTCAGTAGAACCCATGTCCTGTATTTATAGAACCAGTATTTATCCTGAACTTGCTGCTATTGCACTTCTGGTTAGACCTAAACTGCATTTCGTTGCTAATCTAATCTAGTTGCTAAAATCTGCAAATAATTGACCTCCGTCTCTCCCGACTCTAATCTCCTATTTTTGTTTTTGCAAACTCCTTTCATGTTCAAGTTGACTTTGTAACCAGAGCAAAATATTTTTATATTTTGGACTCCTCAAAAGTTATGGCATATATAGAGTTAGTTATATATGTAAGTACTTATGTTCTGCTACTCTAGATGTTCTTTAAATGTATTATTTTTGAAAAATTATTTGTTGTGATTTAAAAAGTTGCAGCTTTGACCTTTTAATATGAGAGAGAATATAAAAAAACGAAATATTCAATTAATTAGGGATGTATCAATAGATGGATCCACATGAATGAATAGAATAATTATCCAAACACATCGCTGCAAAATAAATACATTGATTGTTATCGATAGTGAACAGGTGTTCTTTTTTACTTTTAAATTATTATCAAGCAATCATGCAATTATTATTGCAGAATGTGAATTGAATTAAAATTGTTTGTCAATTCAAAGAAATCAATATGACTTTGATGACTGATATGATTCACAGACCTATAAATGGTTGCCCGGTTCAGGCAGCTGCTGTTCAGAGGTCACCCCATCAGCATCGTAGATCTTCATTTCCCCCTGAATATCCTCATTCACTAAGTGTGTGTTTAATGTTCAGATGCTGGGCGTCCAAGGTGCCAGTCAGCAGAGTCCAGGGGAGAACGCCCGCCAGCTGGCCCGGATCATCTGTGCCACCGTCCTGGCTGGAGAGCTCTCGCTGATGAGTGCTCTGGCTGCAGGGCACCTCGTCAAAAGTCACATGACTCACAACAGGTAGGAGCAGATGACCCCTTACTGTCTGATTCTTAACAGAAAGCGGCTTCACTTTGACATTGTCTCGGTAAGCGCTGGTACTGACCCGCTTCCGTCCGTTCCGTCCAGCGTCTCTGTGCAGGTTCAGGTATAATTCTGTTCAGGGGGCGTATAAGGAGAAAAAGGATAAAGCCTTCTGTCAGAATTTGTTCCCAAGGGGAAAATAATAAAGGCGTAATCAATAGAAAACTCAGTAGAGATTAATAATTAGAATTAAAGTCAGTTTATATTTAAATACTCTAGCAGAGAGATGCTAACATTTAAAAGTATGTTTGCAATTAAAAGTCAAATCTAGTGATGGGTCCAGTGAAACTAGTGCAAAACCCTTTGTTGTTTCAAAAGAGTCATGTGACCGATACGGAAGCTGTTTCAAATTGACTTCCGCACTAAACTGTGTGTTTAAAAGTGCATCTATAAATGCAATGCATCTGCCCAAAAAATGAGCATGAAGTTAGAGATTGAACTAACAGATTCTGCAGAGTGGGAGAATGGAGATGGACTGAAGTAGAATTATGAAAAGGGGTCCCTATGTCCTCCAGCAGTCTAAGCCTATAGCAGCAGAACTATAGAGATAGCTCAGGATAACCTGAGCCACTCTAACTAGAAGCTTTATCAAAAAGGAAAGTTTTAAAGGAATAGTACACCCAAAACATGATTAGCCTTCATTTTCTACTCACCCCCATGCTGAACAACACTCTGGAGTATTTTTTTGATATCTCAAATGCATCTGGAGATCTGGGAGGCTTCTTGCTGTCTGCTGACATTCAAATAATGGAGGTCTATGGCGCCCGAGACAGAAAGGTCCATAAAAAACCACAAAAAACGTGTCAATATTCCTCCATACTGCTCGTCCAATGTATTCCAAGTTTCCTGAGTGGGCACTTTCATCTGGTTTGGTCTGCCGCGGTTTCCGTAGCGTCGTGAACTCGCAGGCGCGCGCTTTCAGGAAATCCTATACACTACTGTTTATGCTCTAAAAACATTCTAAATGACTTTGTTTCGAGTAAATTCTGGATGCTACCCACTCAGGACACTTGGAATACATTGGACGAGCAGTATGGAGGAATATTGACACGTTTTTTGTGGACTTTTATGGACCTTTCTGCCTCGGGCGCCATAGACCTCCATTATTTGAATGTCAGCAGACAGCAAGAAGCCTCCCAGATCTCCAGATGCATTTGAGATATCAAAAAAGTACTCCAGAGTGTTGTTCAGCATGGGGGTGAGTAGAAAATGAAGGCTAATCATGTTTTGGGTGTACTATTCCTTTAAGCCTAGCCTTAAAAGTAGACAGGGTGTCTGCCTCACGGACTAAAACTGGTAGTTGGTTCCACAGGAGAGGAGCCTGATAACTAAAAGATCTGCCTCCCATTCTACTTTTAGAAATTCTAGGAACCACTAGTAAACCTGCAGATTGAGAGCGAAGTGCTCTGTTAGGAACATAAGGAACAATCCGATATCTCTGATATCAGATTGAGCTTGGCCATTTAAGGCTTTATATGTGAGAAGATTGTGGAAGATTAAGGAGGGATGGAAATCATACATTAGAGCAAACAATGGCTTTAATCAAGTTAGGTCATCAGATGAGATGTCAGTTAAAATGTTGGTTAGTCTGAGGCTGCATGTAGTGATGTTAAATGTCCAGCAGGTGTCAGTATTCAGTTACAGTTTGCCAATGTGTGAAACGCCTCATTAATCCATCACTATTATAACCTCTTAAATCTAAGTGCACGTCCCAAAAGGCTCCCTCTTCCCAAACCTCACAGAAGCAGTTAAACGCCAAGTTCCTGCCATTTATTCATTATTGATTTAATTTCACTTTAACTGTTTTTATTTTAGCTAAAATGTGCGACAACCTGCTCAGCTTGTCTCATTCAGATTAAAGATGTGCTGCTTCTAAAATCTAGAACAAACTGCAAAGAGTGGATAGGATTCCCCCTTAAAACAATATAGTTAGATATTATGCACTTAGAATGAGATAAGAGAAATGATTTTACATACTTTATGCATGAATCTTATTCCATCTGCAAATTTTCTGACTGCTCAAATAAAAGGACAATAAATGTATTTTTTAAAAAAAATATAGCTCTATTTATGTCTATTAAAGCTTTATTCTACAGGGTTATTAGGTTAGCTTCATGTAACACAGGATGAAGGTCAGCTAACGGACTGTGGTCTTCATGTGTTTGCAGATCTAAGGTGGACCTCCATGGACCTCAGACCCCATGCGGCAGGAGCCTCAATGCAAACTGAAGGGCGGGTGGAAGCCGTGAAAACCAACCAGTCGAAAAGGGATCAATCACTTCTCAAAGAAAACAGACTCTGTCTTCCACGCCTCTTAAATTGGATATGAGATTATATTTTGACAAAACGTTTGTTCCTCAGGATTTAAGAGAATCTCCATCATATCAGTTCCTGTTGCTCATATTTTTCTGTTTACATCTGATGATTTTGTTAAAATGAAACATTTCTGCCAAACCAAACAGAAACTGTAACTCAGGCTGAAAATAAATTTTTGTTGCTGAAGTTTTCCTCAGCAGCAGCTCTTCTTCCACACATTCTTCTTTCCTTTTCTGATCATCGGTCTAAATCAGCAAAGCTGCTCGAAAAACCGAACTTACAACAATTTAGCTAATGTTGACCCAGAGGAAGTATTTATTGTTCCAGATATCTTTATTTCGGGGGAAGAAGGGGAATAAATACCTGCTGTCCTAAAGGACAAATGCTGGACCTGCGAAGGAGGGACGTTTATTGTTTTATAAAAAATAAAAACAAATATTAAAAAAAACAACAAAAGTCATGCTGTATTAAAAGCCAAAGAATAGAAATAGGTTTCAAGATGAGTTTTAAAAATGGACAGTGAAGAGGATTATCTAATGAGGAGGGGAGCAGCAACTGTGTCGCCTCTGAGCTTCCGTTTGGACCTCGGTACCTACAGGAAGCTTTCCTGCTCTACTCTATTAAAGGAACATTTTTCTACAATTCTGGATGATAACTTCCTTAGACTTCATTTTCTTAGTTTTATAACTAATGGTAACAGTGTCAAATATAACTTTGCATCATCGTGAAAACCTATATATTTTGGTTTGTGGTGAGCAACAAAGAAATTAATGGTCTGGATGATGGTTTATATATATTTTAAATACAAACAGGCCATAACTCAAATGAGCTTAAATGACACATAACTAAAGAGTCTTTTTTTATGTAAGGACTAGAAATTAGAGATGATTACATAAAAATATAAGGAGTATAAGTAACAAGTTAAAATAATTTCTCAAAAAGCATTTGTCCTTTCTACTTGACACCGCTGACCCTCAGCTTAAAGCTGCTGAAGATGTCATTTTCCAGAAGAAAGGAAGAATATCAATAAAAAATAGATCTCACTTACATCAAAGGTGCGTCATTAAATCAGCTGATTTTCTAAACAGCCCAGACCGATCACTAATCTCCAACTAAATCTGGAGAAAAGCGTCCTGTGAAACCCAGAAAGCAGCATAGAAAGGTTGCAGGGAGGGGGCGCTTCCACCGCCAGTCCACGCGGTGGCAGCAGAGCGCATCAACTGCCACTGAGCACCGAGGAAACAGCAGCAGCAGCAGCAGCAGCAGCATAGCTGTTGGGTTCGGAAGCAGGTTATGTTCTTCTTCACCAAAGCGTGGAGGATTTCTCCACAGATGTGTCTCCTCGCGCTGCAGCAGAGGACCTGCTTCCATCAGGTAACATCAGACTTACTGTTCATCGATCCAGAAAACGCTCGTGTTTACCGGGCCAGCGGCTGGCGGTCACGATGGCTCCTGGGTCAGATGATGACTTATGAAGCATTATCAGGTTTAACTTCCTCTGTATTTTATATCCCACCCTAAACGGTTCGTGTTTAACAGGAAGATACCAACTCTGTATTAACTTCCCACCGCTGGGTGCCATGTTTGCTGAAAACACATCAATCAGCTGATCCAAAACAGTTTGAACTGATGTTTCTTCTTCTGTTGATTTCGCACCACTTAGTATTGTATTAGCGCCATCTGCTGGGCGGAGGACACATTTCTTTATCTCATATTCACAGTCATTTCAACGCTCTTTTACTGACAATTCAATTAGATCGTCCATCCATTTTCTGTCACACTTTATTCGAGCCAGGGCTGCTGGTGACTATCTCCAGCTGTCAGTGGACGAGAGGGGGGGTCCACCCTGGACAGGTCTCCAGTCCTTCGCAGGGCAACACAGAGACAAACAGGACAAACAACCATTCACGCACACAAACACACCTAAGGAGGATTTAGAGAAGCCAATTAACTTAACAGTCATGTTTTTGGACTGTGGGAGGAAGCTGGAGTACCCGGAGAGAACCCACGCATGCTCAGGGAGAAAAAGAGGAGAGAGATAATGTGTGGGGTTGAACTGAACAGAATGGAGAAATAGAGATAGAATGAAGCGGAATGATGAAAAGGGGTCCCTTTGTCCTCCAGCAGTCTAAGCCTATAGCAGCATAACTATAGAGAAATTCTCAGGAATAAACCAGTTATAACGCTGGGTTTGAATTTTCTATAATTTATTATTAGTGGGGAACATATCTCCCATTAATTCTGTTTGGTTTGAACCTTTTCTTCTGTCTTATTTGTTGCATTTTGGATTGAAGAACATGATGCTGGGCTGTTTGGGTTTTATGTTGAGATGCAATTTTTCTGACACATTTGCAGAATAGTTTGTAGTTAACTTTGCTACAGGGATGAGTTTGATTGGCTGACGGACCACAAACACCCCATATATCAGCGCCAATGCTGCTATTGCCCAATGTTTGTTTTTTATGTTAGTCATAGATATCGGCAGACTGAGAGTTGGCTGCCATTAACAGCTGATCTTTATCTTGTTGCTGTCTGTATAGCCAGTGTTTGAGGAGGGGGAGGGGTCAGCTGTGTGGTTGTTTTTATTAATTTGTTTTCTTTGTAAAGAAGCTGAATTATTTTGGAAGGGGAAAAAAATTATAAAAAAAAACTACAAAATAAATGCATTTAAAGAGAACATCCTATTTATAAATGTACCATGAATTATTATTTTATATAACAACGCATTTAATTATTTTACATTTCATAGTTTAATGGTACATTTATTTGCATAGTGCTATATTAATAAAATAAATGTTACACTAAAATATTTATAGGGAGATTTAATGGAGCGTTTATCTATTTAATTTTAAATTTTTTAAATTTATTTTTGTCCACTTTAACCCTCCATAAATATTAAAGTTCTGATTTTTATTTCAAATATCTAACAAAGGTTTTGTTCTTTTTAGATCCAAAGGCTGCCTGCCCTGCAGGAGGTTCGATGTTTGACGGCACGCAGCGTCCATCCCAGCCTCCTCCAGCCTGTCAGGGAGGTCAGACTGTTCTCCTACCAACAATATAAGCCTTTAACTCTGGAGGTTTCACTGTTTTTTTTTTTTCTCCTGGTAAAAATCATTTTTTAAAATGCTGAAAACAATGAGATTAAAATCTGGATCATTGGCCAATAAAAGCTGTATTTATATGGCGGTGCTTAGAGCAGGTTTCTTTCAATATTAGAAGATTAAGCAGCAAAGTTTCTTAAAGCTAAATCTGCTCAGGTTCACGGAGACAAATACTTTGAAAAGGCCAAACGTCAATATATTCAGAAGTATCAAGTAACAAAGTACAAATACTTTGGTAGCTTATTTAAGTAGAAATGTTAGCTGTCTATACTTTACTGGAGTAATTATGTTTTAAAAAACTTTTTACTTCTAGTCCCTAAATTTTCAGACTCTTTAGTTTTGGGTTATTTAAGTTCATTTTCATTCTGGCCTGTTGGTATTTTAAAAAAACAAAAAATAAAAAATTATTTTTTTCATCCAGACAATTAATTTCTTTGTTGCTGGACTCGGTGCTGCCCCAACTTGTTGCTCACCACAAACCAAAATAAATAGTGTTTCATGATGATGCAAAGTTAAATTTGACAGTGTTCCCATTAGTTATAAAATTAAGAAAATGAAGTTTAAGGAAGTTATCATCCAGAATTATAGAAACATTTTTCATTTAATACGGTAATGCAGTAACCAGTATGAGGATTAAAGCTTCTATTCTTACTTTTTTCCTGCATTATTTTTACTTTTATACTTTAAGTAGTTTCACAAATGGTACTTTTACACTTCTAACTTCTAATAAAAATGTTTTTAAACAGTAGGATTTATACTTCTACCTGGGTAAACATGAATACTTTTGACCCTTCTGATCAGAAGTGACGTTCATGAATTTAATGTGAAGTTAAATCAGTTAAATCAGGAGGAAAAATGCACGGTTTAACGTAAAAAATGTATAAACTCATGGAATTAGTTTATTAATATTAGTTAAAACTGAATAACAGAATCTGATCTGACATTAAAGGCATTAAAGTTCCTGCAAATCTGAGCAAGAAAACCGTTTTAACCAGACTTCCTGTCATAAGACAAGGCAGCGTTTCACAACACGTCATCAAAGGCACTCCAGGTTCAGACTGTGATGCTTTGCAGTTTTTACTCTTGGATCTTTAACAGAACCTCATATTCTATCAAGCAGACCATGTGAGCTTCCAGATTACGATTATTATTATTATTATAATTTTTTTTTTTATCAGTGTGGACGGAGAAGATTTGAGGAATGCCGGAGCAGAAGCCTTTCTCTCTCCATCAGCAGAAAGGAGAAAGTTCCTCCTGTGCAGAGAAGGTATCCCCCTGCTGCTGGGTGCTCGACGTGTCACCAGGAAGTGGCATTTCCTCAGACGTCTGTGTCTCTCTTTGACAGGGAGCTGTCAGAAGCCGCCTATGAGAAGCTGGCAGACGAGACGCTGGAAGCTCTGGCCGATTACTTTGAAGATCTGGCAGATGAAGCCTTCACTGGACCAGAATACGACATCCTCTTCTCTGTAAGGCGTCACACCTTCACACGGTCGGCTGTAAACACACACAGGATCATTTCCACCCTTCTAAGCTCTAACACTGAACCTGTTACCGGGGTAGATAATCCTAACCTGAGCCTGAACTCGGTTTACACTTTAATCTGAAACCTGTTAGTAAAATAGGAAGTTAGGAGCAGCGGAACGTCCTCCCTGTGGCTCAGACAGTCCTCACTTTGATGCCAAAAACAGGAGCGCACACACAGTTTTATGTAATCTAGATTATAATCTAAATGTGAGATGTGTCGACAGTAACCTAGGTGACCCATGGTCAGAAATGAGCCAAGGCGAAGCTCTGAGGGACGCCTGCTGGTTCCTCTGGCGTCCTCGCTGTAGCTGAAGACATTTGGTCCATTTTTCCTTCCAGTAATTCGTCCATTTTGAATTATCTAAACATTAACATTTAGGTTTCTGATGCTTTTCTGATCCCAGTTTGCTTAAAACTACAGTTTACATTTGATTTTCTGACTTTATCTGAACTTTATGTGGCAGAAAAGTTTGTGTTTTCAGTTATTCTATAGATATCACATCATAGTTCAGGAAATAAAAAAATTCACCTTCATAAAGTTGTTTTATTTTGTAATTTAAACTCTGTCTTTAGACTAAAAGCAGATAGTTATCCTTTAATCATTAGGATCACCAACACATCTGTAGTTAAAAACCCAAATTATTCAACCTGTGGGCCGTGAGCACAGGAGAAAGAGAAGTCGATAATTATCTGTTTTTCTCTCTATTAAGCAACAGATTACTGAAGGTCTAAATCGGCGGTCGGCAACCCGCGGCTTCGGAGCCGCATGTGGCTCTTTAGCGTTCCCCTTGCGGCTCCCTGGAGCTTTTTCAAAAAATTTATGAAAATCGTTTTTTTTTTTTTTTTTTTATTTTAATATGGTGTGCAGGAGGTCAAATATAAAATATTTATGTTTTCCAATGCTGTAAAGGTTTGTATAATAGAGATCAGGTGTCATAACTGGCAACCAGCGCTGCGCGGTGTCAGGCTGCTGGAGTGTCTCAGACCGCGGATCCCAAAGGGGAAAAAAGGAAGATAGCTGTTGAGAAAAGAGGATTCAAAGGATGGACCGAATCATTTTCTTTCATTATCAATGCGGAAGGATTGCCTGCATTTTTGCTTGGTAATGAGAGGTTGTCCAAATATAAAAATAAACATTTGGAAAGGCATTTCCAGGGAAGGTAAGCTAAATATGCAGCCGGTCACAAAGGTGGGAGGGAGAGAAAAGTACGATTGCAGAACTTCTGGATAAATTAGAGGAGAGTAAATGTAGATTTAAGAAGTGAACTACTGCTGCTAGTTTTGTTGCAAGGATGGAAAACCGTCCACAGATCGAACAGGTAGCGCTCTGATACAGGGATGGGAATTTTCTTCCATTTTTTCCCCCCAAATCCTAAAACTATAAATCACACCAAAGCACGCAGGAGGAGGAGGATGTGGGATTTTAGGGTCAGAGAGCTCTGCTCTGATGGATGTCAGTTCCTGCTTGGTTCCTCATGACTCAATCAACTCCTCCCAACAGAAACACGTCCAGCATGGAAAGATTCCTTGATCCTGTTTCTATAATTTCATCAATGCAACAAAACTTAAACTGCGCGGTGAAGCAGCGCGCAATGAGAGCGTTCACTGCTCCTCCATCACCTCATGCTGCTATGTGACATTTGCTCCCTGATAAACATTTAATCATGAATGCTTATTATATATTTAACCCCACATACCGTATTTTCACGACCATAAGGCGCACCGTACTAAAAGGCGCAGTCTCAGTTATGTGTGCCATTTCTGTATTTAACACACATATAAGGCGCACCGGACTATAGGGCGCGTTTTTTATATACAGGTACATGTCCTCTACTACGTTTAAATACCTCTACTGCGTATTTAAAAATACAGCGGGGGCAAAACTGAGTATGATTGTGCTTTATTCATGTATTTATTACAAAGTATTAATCGAACCCATCAAAGTCATCATCCTCTTTTTCTGAATTAAACAGCTGCGCTAAATCAGACATGCCAATTTCCCCTTCTTCGCTGTCAGTCACTTTCCGTGCAGCGCAGCTCCTCAGAAATAATGCCGGCTTTTGCGAAAGCTTGAACAACAGAGCCAGCAGACACGTTAGTCCATGTACAATCCATCCGCTAACTGTGGCGTAACTTGCCCGGCGCTGCCTTCCACTTATCCTGAAACTGTGGTCTCCGTCTGTCATCCATCGCTCCCATGCCGCTCGCAGCCTTACTTTGAACGGCCGCTTCACACTGATGTCGAGCGGTTGAAGCTCCTTTGTCAGACCCCCCGGGATAACGGCGAGCACAGTATCCATTTGATTCACTTTTTTTTCACATCGGCTGTGAGATGGGCACGCAGCGATGGTGATGCGTGGAAAAAAGCACCTGGTCTCCTCACATACACCTGCCTCAGCTACGCTTTCATCATCTCCTCATCCATCCAGCCTTTTTCATTTGTGTTAATATAATATGTCATCAGAGCGCTGTGTCTGTCTCGCTGTCAGCTCCCAGATCCGCTTCTCTGATTGGTTGATGCAGCGCGTCCAGCAGCAAAACTTCAATTTTTCCATCTGGAGCAGCAGCAGCGCGATGCGCTGCGCCTGCTGCTCAAAACGCGCTGCGGGACCTTTTGCTGCACCTATACGCGCCTCAACCATTGACATTGCATGTAAACTCGCTGCTTCTGCTGCACCTGCTGGGTCCGGTTCACACCGATGTCGAGCGGTTGAACAGCGAGCACAGGGTTAATTTGTTTCCCCATGTTTTTCACATCAGCTGTGAGATGGGCACGCATGGAGTTACATATTAACAGCGATGGTGAGGAGTGGAAAAAAACACCTGGTCTCCTTACATTCAGCCACTCTTTCATCATCTCCTCAATGAGGTGGTCTCAAAAGTCGCAGTTACAACACACATAAGGCGCACCGCACCAAAGGGCGCACTGCACATTTTGAGGGAAAAAAAAAGACGTTTAAGTGCGCCTTATAGTCGTGAAAATACGGTAGTCCTTTTCTATAGTGGGATAATACACTTAGAGTCCATGCTGCTATATGAGGCATATTTAAGACTTTTTAAATTTTTGCGGCTCTAGACAGCTTGATTTTTTTGTTTTTTTGGTCCAATATGGTAGCCTGACGTAGTCCAACTCAATTCTAGTCAGAATGAGTCTGATGCTGCTCCATAGAGCTGTGATTATGGGGCGTGTTTCGAACGAACCAGGAAAAAAAATGCCTCTGCACTCAATTGGATAGACCTACAACCAATAAGAGCAACGGAGTGCGTGACGTATGTTAAGCGAGGCATAGTTGTTGTCCACAAAAATCAAAGCGTGCAGTTTCACGCCTAGAATAAGAAGATGAGCCTTGATCGCGTTTCTCTGTTCCTCTTTTAAAATTAATTTGCTGTCGATATCTTCTAGAACAGACCCAATAGCAGAATCTACTCACCTCAACTCTCCAGCGGCAGCCATTGTTGTTGTCGCCCAAGCGCGCTTTGGTCACGTGGTTGATTACGTTACTGTTGATCATCTGTCCATCATCGTATAAAGCCCGCCCTGACAATTTGATTGGATTGCCAGAGAGTGGGCGATCATACTCGCGCTACTATGGAGCAGAGCCGGACCGAACTTCCCGACCTCAAACCTTGTGGGCGGGACTAAGTTCGGAATGGCACCCAGGCTACCGATATGGCTCTTTGAGCAGTTTGGGTTGCCGGCCCCTGGTCTAAATGTTATTTAACCCTTTGCTTTGCGGGGAACCCAAACATATAAAAATAAACCACCACACTTGTCATCTCTGAACGTGTTGTAGAGTGGTGTGCTGACGGTGAAGGTGGGCGGAGGCCATGGGACCTACGTCATCAACAAGCAGACCCCCAACAGGCAGATCTGGCTCTCCTCTCCTACCAGGTACCATTACACTGCTGGGACGATAAAAACGCATCACTTCTCTGGTTTGAAGCTTTATTTTATCTTAGAAGGTTCATTTTTATTAGAAACGGTTTAATTTGAGGCAGATTCTGTCATGTACAGGTCCGATCCGTGAATTGGACCTGCACATGATCTGACTGTGGATCCTTATATGGTCAAGCAGGAAGACAGGATGTCTGAAGACTGTTTTTAGTCTAATCAGCTTCCGCTCTTTCCACATGTTAAAATGCCTTTGAGCAAAGCATCTATCGTCTGCATGTAATTAGGCCCGACACTTAAAATAAAAAAGGAAACAATCCATCTATCAATAAAATGGGGAGTGGTTCTTTTATAAACCAAATCAAATATTTAAAAACTGATGCGTACACATTAGCTTTTTATTTTTATTTTGGGGTCTCATAGCATCTCATATTAATGGCTGCCGTCATTAATGCCTCGCTTCGCTGGAGGCCGGCTGTGTTAAACGAACAAACAAAAACAGAGAAACCTCTGAGGAATGGAGGTCTAAGGTCTGCTGGAGCTCACCTTCTGGTCTGGGAAGTACTCTCCGTTTGAACTAGGGGATTTGGGAAAGAGTTGATTTGGTGATAAATCGTGATTTTTTTTGCTTTCTGTTCCTAATATCGATTTAAAAATTAAAACATTTTACTTAAAACCATGAGGGAAACTCTGGCATATAGCGCCGTGGAGCCATTTTGCAGTGCGGCGCAGCGCCATATCTGTAGCTGAGGCAGTCAGAGTAAAAGACGTGGACTGACACAAACAACCTGGATACCAAAAATATCTTCGGATGAACATACACAGTACTTTTTTTTTTTTTATCTATACATATCGCAATATATAAGAATATTGTAATATAGCTCAGTCGTGCTGCAGCTCCTCCAGACTCCAAGCGGCAAAGCCTTCAAGGTCTGGTTATTCATCTAAGAGCTAAAAATGAGCACTTTTTATCTGAGTTTATGATGCTAGAAAAACGATAAATCAGTTTATTATGGTTTGTTATGTGATTTTGGTTCAATAAAAAAAAATAAAAATCCTTTTGTTTAAAGGAAAAGTCCGGTCAGCAAGGAATAACCAATGGATCATTATTTATACCTAAATCTAATACATTTGCGGTTATTAAATTAATTTAGCATTAATCAGTAAAAAAATAAAAACATAATCACTGAGTCTGGGAGCGGCCATTTTACCCAAATATAGTAAGTAACCCCTCCCTCCTGCCATCTTCCAGCAGTGACGTCACGGTGCGGTAAGCCTAGCGCCATTCTCCCCGCTTTACAAGCTAAATCAATGGGAACTACTAGACACATCTGCAATCAACAACAATTATTGAAGATTTCCAGAGGACTTCACCATTGAAATTCACCAGAGCTTTAGTGAAACTGACAATGCCCACGTGCATGGCAGTTGAGGTTTAGCCTCGTGAGACCATCCTGATCTCGCGAGCTTTCAAGGTTTCACTCGCTAATCAGTCTGGAGACTCTCCGTTGAAGAAAATTTGGAGCCGTTCACCAAACGAACGTCCAATCAGCGTTGGCTTTGAGGCGGGTTGAGGTGTGACGCAACGAGAAGCACGACAGTTAAGTCTAAAGAACATGACGGCTTCAGCCGATGAAACTAGCGTTAGCGTGGCTATCGAGCAAGTTTTAAGTATTTCTTCACTGAAAGAAGAGCAAAACACTGCTCTGGAGGCTTTTCTCAGAGGAAAAGATGTTTTGCTCTTCTCCCGACTGGTTTCGGCAAGAGTTTGATCTATCAATTGGTTCCTCTTCGTCATCGCTCTGTTACGTCATATGCTTCGTTGATCTGATTGGTTTATTTGGCCCGTCTATCACCAACATAGGCCAATCAGCTAACCAGTATTTTCGCCCCTTCCCAAAATTATTTCTACGGAAGGTTTCCAGATGGATATACGGAGCAAATCTATCTGGCGGAGTCAGGTTAGTTGATGCTGGAATACATCAGGTAAAAGTGAAAAAAAGAGTTATTCCACCTTTCTGATTCCTGATCCTCCACGGACGGGTTGGTCGTTGGATCGCCAACTTGAAGAGGGAGGATTTGCCATCGAACTTCTGGCCAGAGAAAAAACCCGTAATATGTAGCCAACATTTGGAAGAAGAATGTTTTCAAGATGACTTGGATAATAGCGCGTTGTGACAAACACCAGATACAGCACTGGGACTTGATCAACAGCCGATACCGCACCGTGACGTCACAAACCAGTAGGTGGCAGTAGTGTTCTTTGACAAACATGGATGCCTCCAGTAAAGCACATTCACATGAAAATTACTCTGAATTAAAAACACTGATCATTTATTGAACAGGATGGAATAATTTCATATTTAAAGTACTTTCAGAAGTTTGAATTTATGGTTTCCCACTGAGGTGTTTAAATAATACGGTGATTCAGTTTTGGAGGTTCTGGGTCTGTTCTTTAGGCTCTATTCAACCCCATGCTGAATTCTTAATTTTAATTTACTATTTTTCCAGATAAACAATTAATCAGCAGTTTTAATTCATTAAAACATAGCAGACATGTTCTTTGGTTCTGGTCGTGTTCTTTAGAACTCCTACTGTGGTGAATTGGACTTTATTGAATTATTTTAAAGGTTAATTTTAGTCCGTCAGTGATCCAGATTCTAACGATTGTTTCCTCTGCTTTTTTACCCATCCACAGCGGACCGAAGCGGTACGACTGGACCGGAGAGCGCTGGGTGTACAGCCATGATGGCGTCGGTCTCCACCAGCTGCTTTCTAAAGAGTTCTCCATCATCTTCAATACTGGGATCCATTTGGGTGACCTTCCTCATTCCTGATGCAGCAGATCTTATGCATGCCGACCACGACCGTTCTGAGCGGATTGCTCCAAAGGCTCATCGATCTGCAGAACCGATACTTCTGGTGTGTAAATAAATCTGTAAATGTGTGAGGAGATTTGTGTGTCTGTACAACAATCTGCAAATGTGTAAAACTACTTGTGTGTAATCCGTTTTGCAAATGTGTAAAAAATCCACAAATCTGTATTGAGATCTGCAAATGTGTACTGAGATTTGCAAATGTGTAAAAAATCCACAAATCTGTATTCAGATCTGCAAATGTGTACTGAGACTTGCAAATGTGTAGATCAATCTGTAAGCACACACAGAGACACTTGTGTCTGAAGTATTTTCGCTTCAAGACCTCACACATTTACAGATTTATTTACAGATTTTCAAATCCCACTGCACACACACAAATCGAGATACAGACACACAACTCTCCACACACATTTGCAAATATTAAAGCTACCATTTTGGCCCCATATGAAAGTCTTTCAGTTCACTGATTTGTTAGAATTCAGATCCAGAACTTTCTAGGAACTCTTTGTTTCACGTTTGCAGGTGAAATGAATCTAAAATTCAGGCACAGAGATTGAACTGAGCAGATCTGATTCCGTTTTAGAAAGACTCCACTACATGATGTCCCAATTTTACACCCCAAACACAACCAGGAGGATATCAGGAAGCTTATAAAATGTTTCATGTCTGGATCTGTTTGCAGGTTTCTTTCTGACAGGAAACACTTCTGCGCCTCATTTCTCTGTTTTATCTGTTCTGAATAGCTTGGTAACCTTAGCAGCCCGTCTCCTGCTGATTCTGGATGAGCTGTGGTTCTCTTTCCTTTGCTTTTCTGTTGTAAAGTTTTTTTTTTGTTTGTTTTTTTGCGTTTACTTCCCTGAGAGGTTAATTTATTTCGGAAATAGTCCAAACGTCATTTGGACCAACAGGATCTCCACAAACTGCCTCCTTTCAGATGAAAGATGTTTGAAACTTTCCTCTCAGATTCACCATTTAACAGCCAGGAGCTGTTTTCCACCAAAGTTTTTAACTGCTGATAAACCTGTTGACTGATTAGAAAATTCAGTAACAAGATGTTGACCTTTGATTTAATGTATCAGCAGTAAATGTTGTATTAAAATGATGCACAGCAGATTATTTATATAGGTGTTATAAATACAGGAAGTGTTTCTGGGAACTTAATAAATCTTTTAGCGTGTCACCCGAGTTTGTTTATTCTAATGCGTTTCTGCCCATAAATGGAACAAATGCCACACATTAAGAGAACTTTATATTTTTAATATTAAACAAAGATTTTCCTAACCAGTAAAGCGATATCATAACTCTATTTCTAAGGTTAATTAAACTCTTCAAACATAGACACCAAATCACAAAGAAACAACTTTAGGCTTTAGTGCGACTGGAAGCTCGCATTCAATAAAGTGCACTCCTCTTCTTCCAAAGCAATAAACCCAAAGGAGTAAATACAGCTGAAAGTTCCGGGTTTAAGATGCCGCCAGACAGAAGCAATGGATTCCAGGTGCGGAGGTCAAATGTAGAGCGGCTGCTCCTGAGCGGTCAGCAGGCGGTACATGGCAGCAGGCATGGTCTTCATGTGGATCTAAAAGAAACGGAACAGGACTTAGCATCTTAGCATGGATATCAAAACACATTTTAATTAATAGAGGAAGTAAATTGGCTCTAATTAAGCCATGACCATAGATAGTAGGAACGTAGATCGACCGGTAAATCGAGAACTTTGCTTTTTGGCTCAGCTCTCTCTTCACCACAACGCTTCACGGCAGATGCCGCACCAATCCGCCTGTCGATCTCCCGCTCCATCTTCCCCTCATTCATGGACAAATGTTTTATATTTAAATCTTTTAGAGTTTGACTACATTGAGTTAAATGAAGTGACAATTCACAGTTGTCTAAAAAACCCAAAACTCTTCAGCAGAAGTTGTTTTTTAGTGTTTTGGAGTTAACTGTAAATAACATGAATATCACATAAAAAAGGCAGTTTTCAAACCTGGGCAACAGATTTCTACTTTGACTGACATTGATAAGATAAACTGATTGAGTTTGATGAAGGAAACAGTTTTTTTTATTAGAAGTCGTAATGCGGACATGTTCACGCAATAATCAAATAACTCAGTTTCCATGTATGAATTGAAAGACTGCAGGCTACTTTAATGCGGTCCGCCTCTGATTGATGATGAAATCAGGGAACCTTTCATCAGTCTGCGCACCTGAACGTAAATCTGATCCAATATTTATTATAAAAGTTCTGCTTCAGAGTAAATTTCCCTGGGGTGCTGTGAGTAAGCTTCTGATTTCTTCTGCTTTACCCTTTTTTCGTCCCTCTTATTTACTTTTTCACCAAATTATAAAAACAAATTTTAATATATAGAAAATACAAAAACACAGTTTTCAAATAAGGATTTAGTTAATTACCCATTAAATAAGTTTAGAAAGCTCCCTTTCATAAACGTAAGCAACCTGAGTGAAGTTGCCCCCCCCCACCTTCTTCAAATCAGACGAAATAGGTGTCAATTAACTCAGCTCTGTTTGTGCTGCTTTGGATTTGAAGATTTGAAAAAAGGGGTGGGGTGACCTTTGATGACCTCTAGAAACATCTCTTTATTTTTTTAAATTAAAGCGGCACAACCGAAAATTTTTGCTGCACAAACGTTTGACACCAATTTTGTCTAATTTGAAAAAGGTGGAGATGCTGGTTGACCTATTGACCTTTACATTTTCATTAATAGCTTCAAAGCCAAAGCAGCACAAATGACAGTTTTTGCTGCACAAACCAGCACAAAAGGAGCTGAGTTAATTGACACCCATTTCGTCTGATTTGAAGAAGGTGGGGGGGCTGGTTGACCTTTCATGAACTCTAGAAATATTTCTTTATATCTTTAAAACGATAGCGGCACAAATGAAAATTTTTGCTGCACAAACGTTTGACACTAATTTTGTCTGATTTGAAGAAGGTGGGGGGGGGGGCAACTTCACTCAGGTACAGAAGCAGCCTTTCAAAACAATCCTTCTCAGTCAACGGCAGCCGAATAGCAGCCAACTTCACGCCACTGGAGTGACTCCCTTCTTCTTTTGGGCGTGCATATTGTTTTACTCTGACTCCAGCTTTTCACTGAATTACTGGGTCTGACCAGGCGATGACGCTTCTCTTTAGATCTTAATCCATAAATCATGACAGAATATTTTAGTACAAAATTTAATGTTTGAAAAAGGAATCTTAGGGGACCAGCCAAGGGCCCATCAAGGAATTTAAATGGCTGCTACTGTACAGATATAATAGATATTCAGAAACAGAGACTGAAACATTCCCTGGTTGACACTTTTGGCTGATACCTGCATGAGTTCAATTATTAATTAGTGCATTCAGCAGCCATACTTGGAGTCTCTACCAGAGATCCTGCAGAAGAAGGTTCAGCCATCGGTACAGGAGCCAATCACAGGTTTGCTTTGATGGATCACTTTTACTTAAGGAATGAAATCATAATTTGAAACCGGATTTCTGATTTTACTGCAGCTGTCTTTAATATTATAGATAATCGAAAACATTTAAGTGAGACAAAAAATAGGAAAATCAGGAGAAATCCTGAGGGGTAGATGCTCTTTCATATCCCTTTTAGATACTGTGGTGGGATTTTAGTTCATCTTTTCTAAAAAAGTAAAAAAAAGTTTGAAGATGTTTTGCTTCCCATCCAGGAAACTTTTTTTTAATTAAAAATGTCTGAATTAGTGTTGATTTCCAAGCTTTATAGAGTAACTTGGATTGTTTTATTTTACTTTTTGGGAATGACTATGACCTGGATGACTGAGAATCTTCACCACCATAGTTCATCTTATCCTGAGATCACAATTAACATCCCAAAAAGAGCAGAAAATATCTTTACACCCGTTTATTTTTATGTAAGAGACGTTAAAAATGGCTTCAGTGCTCTTAAACTTTAAGCTGTAAACACCGAGCATATGTGACCTCTGAGTGGAGTCGGTCTGTGAAACATCTCACCTCTCCCACAGCGTTGGAAAGGATCTGGACGATTTTTTCATGGGGAGTTGCCACCACGCTCTGACTGTTGACCTCGATGATGCGGTGACCCACTCGTACTCCACCTCTTTCAGCAATCCCACCCCGCATAAGGCTACAAACCTGGTGGACAGATGTAGAAGTTATTTCAGACGATTCTAGAAAGTTACCAGACTGGAAAACATATTTCTATGATAGAAATAGACTAACAATGCCATTCTGGACACTGAATCCTAGCTGGTAGCGTACGTCCGGCCGTCTGATAAGAACTGTAGTCACTGGAGGACATCTCACGATGTTCAACGTGATCCCAGACTGGTTCTTTAGACCCTGTTTAAGGGAAAACATGGAGGATTTGTTCAATATTTTAAAGTGCATAAACACATATATAAGAAATATGGACTGATGGTGGCTACACAGCTGTATTCCAAGATGGCCGCTTGCTGCAAAGGGTCTCTAGGACCTCTAAAATGTGGGATGTGAAGGAAACAGCTCTATGCTTCAGTTTCAGTTTCTCCTGCTACCTCTTTACTAGAGACAGACAGGTGGGAGGAGAAAGAAGCAGCAACATCCTCTCACATTTGAAGCTTTGGGTCTAAGCAGGGCGGGATGTGCGTTTGATTGTGGGCTGAAGAGATTGATGCTGAGCTTGTTCCTGAGCTGAAGCTTTTCAAGAACGTGTTCAATTTATTTGCTCTGTCCAGACTTCCATCCGTCATCCCACGTCTTCTTCATCCATAATCACACATGTCTGATGTTGTTCTGCTGGAGCTCGCTTTTCAGCCTCTTCCTCTAAGCCACCTACTGATATTGATCTTACATTGTTTCTATATATTCTTCAATGATTCTCTGTCCATAGTGTGAGTTTGATGCTCTTATGCAGTAGCCCAAGAAAGCCTTTAGAGAACATGCAAATTGCAACGGACGAACGGGTCGCCTCCTTTGGAATGGGGGTCATTTGGCAATGCCCCATACCTGTCTATGTCTCCGATGACCCCCCTTTCACACTAGAAAAATGATCAAGAAATA